ATGATATGTTGGTGGAATAATACGCTGGAAGCGTTGATATTGTGCAAATTGAAATCCCCCAAATATGTGATGAAAGGAGGCATATATAAACCATTGATGGAATCAATTGATAATGAGATATCTCAATATACTACGGAGAATAATGGAGATGAATAAGTGTCGACATAAACAAATGAATAGCGCTATATAAATAATATTGTCGAAAATGAAATCAGCTGAAATGTGAATATTGGGAATTATTGGCAATAAGACCATTGAAATCAATTGATGATGAGAATGAGTTTAAGAATAAAAATTGCACAAAGCATGATATGACATATTGTCGTGAATACCATCAGTATCTACAAATCCGAAAGAATTTATATGATACTCATGCAAATTATGGAAAGATTATTATGGTGAATATATGAAATACGCGTTGTACTCTTTTTCCCTTGGCTGAGGTTTTGTCCCATTGGGTTTTCCTAGCAAGGTTTTTAATGAGGCAACAAGGATGGCGTATTCACATGAATAGTGTACTCTTTTTCCTTCATTAGGATTTTGTCCCACTGGGTTTTTCCTAATAAGGTTTTAACGAGGCATATTCATGGTATGATGAGGACTACTGGATAAATGATATGATTCTTCACGACGATAAGAGATACTGGAGTAGCTGTACTCTTTTTCCTTCGATCAAGTTTTTTCCCACTGGGTTTTCTTGACAAGGTTTTAACGAGGCAGCACATGGATATTCCACTAAAGATGATCTATTTGAGGGGGAGCTATGTTGTGCTTCCACAATGCTCAGGTTTTGTCCCATTGGGTTTTCCTGAAGAAACAATGTTATGATTTCAAGATGATCAGGTTTTGTCCTACCGGGTTTTCCTGACGTGCTGAAGCAACGGTACCTGATGGCCACAAGATATACTTGAAGATGTGCAGATTGGGCTTTGTTCAAATCAGTTAAAATATGTTTAGAAAATAGTCATTCAAGGGGGAGTGTTATGAAATTATAAAATAATGTATGTGAATGACTATTTTGCCCTCGATGTATTTGTATTATTACGAGTTGTGCCATCAGAAGTTTCCTATAAATAGGACCTTCAGTTATAATGAAAATCGTACCTAAGAGAATACATTTTCTCTATTCTCTCTCTTTCTCTCTAGTTTTATAACAATTTAGAATATTTTGTCACTATTTTTCAACTTAATTCCTACTTTATGCTAAGGATGGTTATAGATTTATGAGAGAAAAATAGTGCTAATGAATGATTAAAATAGAGCAGGCCAGAATTCCTTGACTTTTCAATACCGCATGAGTGTACCCAAAAGATTTAGGTGCAAATTAAGCACTAACATTAAATAAAATATCATTCATTAGGAGGCATTAATCAATTTTTTATGTCTCAAATTTTGTAAGACAAACATTAAAAAAATATAATAATTAGAGGGAATTGAGGAGTACTAAAGTTAATCAATATATTTTTTAGTTGAAAGGTGAATAATATTAACATGCATCCATATACTTAGCAATTTGTAATTTAATGTGACAGTGTTTCGTGCTTGTTTAGCTGACCTATATAGCCTTTAGAAACTTCTCCTAGGATCTTGTGGGAATGTAAATGGACAGAAAATAATTTAATTTAAAAAAAAAAACTAAAATAATATTCAAATTTCAA